GAAGAATTAATTAATGGCAGGACTTCTTTGAGCAGTTTTGTAGGAATGGGGTCTAAAAGACACGTTGATGGTTTGGAGGAAGTAATTATTGAAGTTAACTCAGAAAGATTAATTGGAGAAAAAGAGTCTAACTTAACATCAATGGGACTAAGAGTAGCTGTAGATGATATTACATCTGTGGGATGATCATTGGTAATTTTTTCTCTATGTTGGTACAGGGCATTGAAGATGATAACAGGGGGTGGATTGTATTCTATCTACATGGATATTAAAATGAATAGACCGTTTAAATCTCCATTGAAAGTATTTTCTATATCTAAAATTTCATGTGTTTGATTTGAGATCGAATTTTCCAAATGTAACCCGTTTGTGTGTTACATCTGTTGACGTGTTGTGTAATGGTGTGTAAATAAGAAGCAGGAGATTTAATGTACAATAATAAGATAGTTCATTTTGAAATATTTAATTATAAAATATCGCTTTATTCATAAATACTTCAAATGGAATGGATCTTAAGAAAAAGGGATTAAACTCAATAACAATCTGACTTCAAAATTAACTGAAAATTAATAAATTAAAATAAAAACTAGAAAGCGAAAATTTCAGAAGACATTTTAAGTGTGCCTATGCCGCTGCCAATGAGTGTAGTCTTTGTGCTCTGTACTTTAACATCTGCAACACAGAAATAAAGGCCTGTGATCTGTGCGTGTCGTGCAGCTGCTAGGACACCTCTCCTCCAGATGCTAAAAGGACCTCTGCTGTGCACAGGAGCTGCAGCTTCATCTACTCTACTTTAATATAATAAATCAAATACAGTGGATTGTTTTAAAATATTAACTTAATCTCTCAAAAAACAAAAAAAAGCATATAATATATCACTGAAAAATCATCAAAAACAACTTATCAGAACAATGAATCAAAATAATTCAAAAATAATTGAACAATCAGACAAAGAAATACAACTTAACCAGGACTCAATTTTTTGGTGTTTATAATTCAAACCTTAGACTCTAATATAATCATATTAATAAACACTATCCAACAGGCAATACAACACTGTACCATGAAAGCAATCAATGAAAAACCACATCCCATACCTGCAACACATAGAAATAAAGGGCAGTGATCTGTGTGTGTCTCCTGACAAAAGAAACTGTGCATGCTGTTAAAAAAAAAGTTACAGCTGCATCTTCAGGCTAAAACTCATTAAAAAAAGTTAAATTAGTGAACTCCGCCCTCCACAAAACTTATACCAAACGAGTCTGTTAACAACTGACCGAAATGTGGCAGTTTGGCTATATTCAAATTGCAGCTTGTGGTCTTAATAAATTTTAATTAGCTGAGAGCAACGAGGCAGTGACTTACCTCTGGCCATGCTGAAAGGAGCTGTGACTGGGGCGCACATGCACGAGCCTACGAAGCGCACACAAACACACACAGACTCAGATCACATGGGCTGGAGATTAAAACACAAAATGAAATATTTAATTAAACACAGTGAAATTTAAAAGTATAACTCATATGTTACACAAACATCCATTGAGATTTAAACAAAAGTTATTAAGATCCAAATCAATGGATATATAAGTTGTTGGCAATGTATGGACCATAGTGGACTAATCATGTCATCGACTGTTTTAAATTCAGAAACTCTTCAGAGGTGTCGGCCTAAACTCAAGTCTAAGCTGAAGGCTGAGTTCCAGTGTGTGTTTGAGGGGATCGCTAAAGCAGGAAACCCAACCCTTCTGAATGAGATCTACACAGAGCTCTACATCACAGAGGGAGGGACTGAAGAGGTCAATAAAGAACATGAGGTCAGACAGATTGAAACAGCATCCAGGAAACCAGACAGACCAGAAACAACAATCAGACAAGAAGACATCTTTAAACTCCCACCTAGGAGAAAAGCACCAATCACAGAAATACACGCCTGGACTGGGCTGAAGACAAAGCCAACCAGGACATCCAGTTCATATTTCCATTCACTTTCAGAGAGCTGAATGTGCTGAAAGAGGAAAAGTTCAGCTTGGTGGGACTTGTTCATCACTTCTTTACTGAAACCAAAGAAGCAGGAATCTGCAGCTTTGAAGACTTCCAGGTTGTGTTCATCTTTGATGGTCTGGATGAGTGTCGACTTCCTCTGGACTTCCACAAAACTACAATCCTAACTGACCCTAGAAAGTCCACCTCAGTGGATGTGCTGCTGATAAACCTCATCAGGGGGAAACTGCTTCCCTCTGCTCGCCTCTGGATAACCACACGACCTGCAGCAGCCAATCAGATCCCTCCTGACTGTGTTGGCATGGTGACAGAGGTCAGAGGGTTCACTGACCCACAGAAGGAGGAGTACTTCAGGAAGAGATTCAGAGATGAGGAGCAGGCCAGCAGGATCATCTCCCACATCAAGACATCACGAAGCCTCCACATCATGTGTCACATCCCAGTCTTCTGCTGGATCACTGCTACAGTTCTGGAGGATGTGCTGAAACCAGAGAGGGAGGACAGCTGCCCAAGACCCTGACTGAGATGTACATCCACTTCCTGGTGGTTCAGGCCAAAGTGAAGAAGGTCAAGTATGATGGAGGAGCTGAGACAGATCCACACTGGAGTCCAGAGAGCAGGAAGATGATGGAGTCTCTGGGAAAACTGGCTTTTGATCAGCTGCAGAAAGGAAACCTGATCTTCTATGAATCAGACCTGACAGAGTGTGGCATCGATATCAGAGCAGCC